TTTTGGCATAATAACTAGTTACCGTGCTCGTTACCACATTAATAACGTAGTTACTGTAACGCGTTACTTAATAACGCGTTAGTCCCAACACTGCTTATATATAATTTCAGATTGCTCCCAACACAGGTTATTGCTTAAATAGACCCTTGTATGTTGCCTTTTAGCAAACCTTGCACATCAGAGAAAGCAAGTGTTCCTGATTAATGTTCCTGCAGTTCAGTCTGTTTATTTTCTACTTTTTGTGAACTGAGGTGCATAGTTTGTTTATGCACTCGGCCGACGCTGGATGCGTCCTCTTAATTTCCCTGGTTGCTCATTGTAGACCTGTACATTCGGTCTATGCTAGTTTCCAGCCACTTGTGCCTTACAGCACGGTGCCTCACATTGCTTTCCAGCTTTCACTGGCTGTAGGTGACAAGGAAGAAGCTTTCCAGTCACATTTCAAAGAACAAAAATAACAAATCTGTCCAGGGAAGTGAATGTGAGTATAGGTTTCTTATACGGGAAACGTACGCCACAAACATAAAACTACTAATGCAGGGTGTTGAGGGGGAGCAGAATGATTGGTAAGAGTCAGGGTCTTTCATTTTGTCATGTTTCTTTTTTCCCCATTTCTGGGCTGATTTTTCACTGCAGGGCTAGTTCCATTCACTTGAATTTATTATTTCTTGCACTGAGGAAGCTGATGAAGTCCAATGTCTGTAAGCGAGTTTGTGCGTGCCTCCGCGCACATTAACGCTTGTGCTGGGTGTATGTGTGCGAGGAGATGAGACACGCGTCTCTTTATGTGTAAGGGAGCCACGCTTTCATGGCTGTTTCAGATCTCGCTGCCTCAGAGTTCGACAGAGCGACGGAGCCAGAAGCGAGAGGGAGAGATGGAGAGATAATAGGAATGGAGGGTGAAAGAAGGCTAACACAGTCTTTAATGAGTTTCCTTGGCTCTCTTTGCCTGTTTCTGGGTCAGGGTCCCCTGGCTGAGGATGTGGGTGGACTGAGGACGATAGAGCAGAAAAGAACAGTGTAAGCCAAGGTCTGCTTGAATAGACTTGTACATTATAGAGTCATCACCTACAGTACATAAAGATGCATGGGAGGAAAGGCCACGCAATGTTTAGCTTATTTTTTGAATTGATAGCGAATGATGGAAGTTAATCAAAACAACTAATGGTCTTGTTGTGGCTCTTTATTGCACGTACACAAACACAAACCCCAAAGGTCAAAGGTCACTTATAGCTTATATTCAATTAGCAGGAGCTTAGAAGTCCATAAAAAACACATCCAAGCTTACTCTTTTTTGATGAAATGCAATCACACACCTACAAAACAGGATGTGCAAATGGTAAATGGACAGGTTCTTATAAGACCTCACCTGCATCATAACAGGACAGAGACAGACCCCTCCTCCGCCTTGCTGAAGGTGGCTTTGGCCATTTTCTGGTTGACTCCTCCTGCCCTTTCATTTCCTAGCAATCAGCTTCAATCTGTGGCAGGTATGGAGGGAGAGATAACATTAGGGAGACATCATGGGGAGATATCTGCTCAGCCAAGACATTATTTAGTGCTCTCAAAGCATCCAAGAGGCAACCTCTGTCAGACAACAAGGCTCCAGCATGTCCACACAGGACAGAGAAATAGGTAGATAGAAGGACATGGAAGAATTACTGATGGGCTGATAAAGTATTTTGTTATCTGAACAGTCTGCCTTCCTGTTTCTGTCCTCCTGTGCTATGTTACTGTCTGTCTGCTGCAACTCTCTTTCAATGACTCAATCTATGTCTGTCTGGCTGAGTTACTTTGAGTGTCTCCCAGTGTTTCTCCCTCTCTCACCTTATGTTTCCCACTGTAACTCTGTCTCTATTACTTTGCCTTCTTTCTTTCTTGTGAATAATTAATGTCTACCGGTTCGATGGTAATAATAGAACAGATCTGGAGGTGACAAATGGGATGGCCAATAGGCTTCATCCTTCCTTCTTCAAAGAGTTACAAAGTTAGCTGGGCTCATTTGGTGGGCGTGTACACCCATATATTTGTGCCACTTTTTTTTTTTTCTTCCCTCCATGTTTGTGTGTGCATGCACATGCAGTTGTGTGTATGTGATTTAAGACAGGGAGATGAAAGGGACTTGTAATTACAGGGAAGCATATCTGTCTACTGCAGAAGTATCCGAGGAATGGCATAAAATGGGCCAGAAGCCTGAGGTCATTAGATCTGGAGCATGTGTGCGTGCTCGCATGCCCGTGTGCGAGAAAGTGACAAAAGCAAAGAGCGTGTGTGCGCGAGAGAAAATGGGAGACACGGATAGATCAGCTTATAATTTCAGTTCCTCGGAGTCGACCTCTGAACTCTGCTTCTCATTATTGGCTCTGCCGTGCTCGCTTCTCAGCAGTAGCTGATTGTGGTTAGACCGAGGAGGCAGTCTTATTGCCGGAGAGGAATCACAGAATTTCCTGCGCTCTAAAATACACTTGTGTAAACATTCCAAAATATCAAATGATAGGGATTTCACTGTGTGCTGTGCACATGGATAATCCCATGCAAAGGCTGTGGTTATAATACTGTCCCACTGTCTCTTGTCTGCTTTCCGCTCTTCCATCCCGTCCTCCCACTTTCTGTCTTGGGATTTTGGCTTCTGTTCTCCACTTCGTCCTCTCTTTCCTTCTAACCATTCTTCGTTTGTTTCTCTCTTCACAGTTGAGGATGACTTCATTGGTCTCGGTGAGCTGCCAGAAACGTTCCCCTCAGACCCCCCAGAGCCGCTGCCCGTGTTTTTAATGGAACCAGAGGAGGCCTACATAGTCAAGAACAAGCCTGTTAACCTGTACTGCAAGGCCACACCTGCCACCCAAATCTACTTCAAGTGCAACAGCGAGTGGGTTCACCAGAAGGAGCACACTGTGGAGGAGAGGGTTGACGAGAACTCTGGTCAGTAGAAAGATCGGCTACGTGCTGACTAGCAACTCTGTTTTAGAAGACATCATGCTGCACAGAGCATTAATAAAAATGGTTTTCTTCACAGAAATGCATCCTGACAGCTAAAACATGATTTGGTTTTATATTATCGTTTAAGAAAATCAAAGCAGTTGGTTAAGGTTCGCAGAAGATTGTTGTTCTGATAAAAAGTTGAAAACATAACCTTGAATCACAATATGATGTTTTCATATTTTCCCAAAAGCAAGTGTATGAGTATGAGTTCTGACAAAAGTGTCTTTACAAACATACGCTCAATGTGAATCTCTGCTTATAAATCTTATTGTCCAGCATATTTAACTGCTGACCTTGCCACTCAGACTGTAGATGAGGTATCTTTCATTTGGCACCATCATTTCCATCACAATCATACGTTTATGCATTTGAGTGTGTATATTTTGTTTCGGTGCCTGCTCAATAATCCAGATAAGGATATTCCAGAAAGTTTTTCAAACAGTGTTTGTGGAGTGGAGAAAGAGTTTGCCGCTCATTCAACTGACCTCTTCAGTTTCTGCAGGTTTCCTCAACTTCATAAACAACACAGATTAGTGATCCTTTATGTGTCAGGAGTTTTAGCAACAGCTGAGATGCATTTTTTTCTCAAAAACACAATGTTTTTCTGGCTTTCAAACCTGAAAACACCCTACAGTACACCAAAAATTGTTCTGCCCCGAGGATCGGGTCCTCTGGCACAAGAGCAAAACGATGTACGCGATTAAGTGCTGAGGAGATTGCCGTAATTTGGGGATACCAAGCAACTTTTGGCACAACACAGAAGAGCTGCCTTGTTGGGCCTGAACCCCTACAGACCAGATGTCACTCCTTTAGCGATGATGTTGTCACATCCTTGTCGGGGGAGAAAAGGTGGTTTGAGCGGGAAAGTCAAGGAAGCTGCGTATGTGAAAAGAGAACGGCCATCTCTGAACTAAGAAAAGGGTAGATCTTTCAGTGCTGTGATTGCAGTCATTTCCCAATTTTCTGTGAATAGTACTCCTGACTGTGGATCAGTGTTCTTGTCAATTTACATTTTAAACTGAGCTCGTGCCTCGTTGTTAGTCAGTGGTTCCAGTTTCCGTCATTATGCAGCTGAGACTGAAGAGTTCATTTGGGTGAGTGATGAAACGTTTCTTCCACTGAAAACGTTGCGCATAGATGAACAGAATCAACTTTTTGGGATATGTCTGTTTACATACCTGTTTTGTTGAGCATCAAGAGGAAGTGATGGTAGTGAAGCTCCGGTACGGTTGTTTTTAAGAATTCAGTCCCCAAAGGCACCAGAGCCATTACACACAACAGCCCAGCACTGATTGGCTGCATTCAGCTGCTGTATTGGAAATTGAGTTCGTTCTGTCACCCACAGGTACCAATCACATCGCATTTACCCTTTTCATTCCACTGTTTTGACACACACACACACACACACACACACACACACACACACACACACACACACACACACACACACACAC